ATGGTCTGGTCAAGCGAGACAGGCAAGCTCGCTTACAAGCTGCCCGGTCACAAGGGCACAGTCAACTGCGCAGAGTTCTCGCCAAACAAGGAGCCTATTCGTAAGTATTCTGCTGATCCTCTGCGAGGCGGTGAACTAATAAGTTACAGTACTTTCTGCATCGTCAGACCGCACAATGCTACTTGGCGAGTTGAAATGAGGAGGTTAAGCAATAACTCGATATTTAAATCTACTACCCGTACTCTCCCTGACATATTGAACCACGAGATGCGCGCTCCCGTGTCAGGGCTCAGTATTCTGGTAACCTTTATGCCATTGAAGCTTACCATTGAGGGCGTACCAAGGGAGGGGCATCCCCCTCACCCTCACCGTGGCTGAATAGTGTAGCCGTTAGGATGACGCAGGGAGCTTTTTGTAACTAAGTCTCTCCAATATTGCTAGGGAGCATGAATATTCAATCTGGGGAAGCTCTGGAGACGGTTAGAAAAGCGGATTACAGCATGCACAAAGTTCTTGAGATAACATTGGGAAGGGTGAAGGAGGCGTTTATGGCTTGTATCAAAAGATGAGACATGAGCTAGGGGCATGCATAGATGTTTATACTATATGTGCAAATAGTCGATTAATAGTAAGCCCTTGAAGAAACAAGCCACATCAAACACGATCAAAACTCGAGGGAGATGTTATCTTCCAATGAAGTTAGTTGTATGTAACCCTTCCTCAGACACTATCCAATGATTGTGAGGTTACAGCTGCATATAGCCAGAATACTTGGGTTTCAGGTTCATACCCCTGGTTGGCTGTGAGGCGCTCCAAGCAAAATGCGGCGTACTTCAACCCGAGACGTTTAGATGCAACAAGGCAAAAAGGCTCTGAAACTTATAAGTTCATGACATAATAGTTGCAGTTTAAGCATAACACAAAGTAATTGTGAAAATATGTGATAGCATCATCTTGAGCTGAAGGCCGACGGTCGACCTCCAGAGATAAGCCGCATCTCGACTAGCTCTGAAGCTGGTTACCCCTGGATAGAGCTCGGACTGGGTAGCAATTTGTAGATCTCCACTTCCCACGTTTTTCCAACACGCACGGGACGTCCAATCTATTTTGCTAGAGCAACTTATCAACTGTAGCAGGTTAATTTCGTGGAAGCCAACCAAAATCCATCGCCGAAAACAGCCGTAAATTGTACAGCAATCACATCCTCAATCCCTGTTGTTTATGTACATCCTTCAACAGCTGAACCTGGGCTCCTCCTTGTAGAGGGGGGATATCCCTGACGCGGTTTGTCCCTTTCGGAGGACCCGTAGGCTAAGGTTTATGAACATGGGTCCTTGAACCTTTCAGTTCAATCAAGGGGTCGAAAAAGGGAACCTCGTGTGAAAACGACAAGACAAACGACGGGCCATCTGCCCACTAACATAATTAGATCATGACTGAAGCCGGGGCCATTTTTTGCTTTATCGAAACCTGACCCTCTTTTATTGTCTCTCGCTGCCGTCTTCGTTCGGTCCCTTTTGGCGTTTGTTGTCTCAGAAAAAGTCAAGACAGGTTCTTGAACCCTTTTGTTATTTACTTGTTGTATATCTTGTTCCTTCTCTACTAATAATGACCGAGATGGTACAAATTTTCATGTTGAGCGTGTAGTTTTATCGTATGTTCTTTTTTATGTTCTCCCGTGGACTCTGTTGAAAATTCACGATAGCGCCGCCTTAGTCGCTTTTACCTGAGTCGTAACGGATCTATATACTGCCTCGGGTGCCCCCGTCGAAATATGGACTTGAACCGTTCTGACATGGAGAGGCTTCGTGCTGATCTCATACAACGATCAAGGATGGAGCGAGGTGGTAGTCCGAATGGAGGCGACGTCAACCTCGACGTCAATGTTGATGTCGAAGCTCAGCACAATATACAAGAACCTCGTTCGAGTCCTCCGCCCCTGTCACGGTTGCTGAGTCGGAGAGAACCTGCTTCAATGACGGGACAAGCTCATCTCGCCGAGATCGAGAGCGTCAAGTCTCAAGACTCGAATACGAATCGCCCTGGGGGCTCTCGAAGATTTGCTGTACCGGGGTTCCTGCGAATATGGGGACGTAACAACACCACACCACAATCCGACGATATTCGCATTGCCACAGCTTCTCCCGCGCCGCTTCTACCCATCGCTGAACCTCAGTCGCCGACGAGACCGGATCCTGTGGCTGCACCTTCAGAATCGCATCGATCGCGACGTCAAAGACGACAACGAAACCCTCCTCAAGACCCATTGGAAGCACATCTCTCTGAAATCCTGGGTGGATCAACTATTAGAAGGCATCGAAGACGGAGGGAATACCATGAAAGAGAACGTGATCGCCACAGGTCGCGAAGAAGTCATCAGCGACATCCCAAGTTCTTCCTGGGCTGTATACCATGGGTTCGATCGAGGCGCATGAGAGCGCAGATCCTGAGATGTTTGACTTCAGGTCTGTTTCTTATAATTCTCGTCACTGTCTGTAAGTCAAGACCCAATCGTGCCGCCTGTGTAATTGCGATACTGATCAGGAATAGATCTCGCCCTTTCCATGACACACAAGGTCAACACGCGCGAAATGAACATCATGCTCATTCTTGTCGTCTTGTTCGCCGCCGCCTTCTTCTTCCACGGTCTTATTAGACTGTGTCTCCTAATAATAAAAAGTAATCGCGAAGCCGCTGAGCGGGCAAATCGACCTCCTCGGTATCGTGCGCCTCGATATGCCGTACCTCCTGTTCCCATTCCTGTTGTTCTTGCGCAGGATGAGGAAGCTGTCGGTATGGAGAGTGAAGCAACAAAGACACTACCACCAGCCTATGGACGATGGCGTGAGACAGTGGTATGTATCTAGCCTGCAACTTTTGACAGGATGACGCTAACAATTTGCAGCGAGTTGATCCCGATCGTTTGTTCTGGCAGCGCAACGAGGCCGTGGACCTTTCTCAAATAAGACCTAATACTCGAGCTGGTCCCAGGCCACCGTCGTATGTGTCTGAAGATGGTATATCATATGTAGTCGAGGCGCAACCTCGATCAACTGCACCTACAACTGAAGTGCCTCTACCAACACATCCATCGGAGCTTGGTAGAGTGGCTAGGGTACCAACAGAGTAGGAATCATCAAGGGACAATTTCACAGGGCATCATAGCGAGCAATATGCATGGTTTATATGAAAGCGAAGACACATTTGAAGACCCAGAGCCTCTCAGAGGCATTGCCAAATCAGCGTACACGAGTATCTGCACCATTGATATCACATATTAGTGAAGTTTTGCATAGTATTGCTTTTGAAAGGAATTGAGGTTCAGGCTATGAGATACCAGATACCAGATAGGAAAGGCAATACTATAGGCTTGCCCTCAGGTGAAGTTGCTCGTGCCTGTTTATCGGTAATTAGAGACCCAGTCGCAGTGATACTCAGCAGGTGGTGGTTGCTCAATCTCGCGATCAGGTTATCCCTCTCGTCTGAGCACTGAGCAGGGAGTAATTGTCTCGCGGCGAGTCTCGGAAGAGGCGTGGGGTTGCCATGGCCAGGGTTTGACATCACGCGGTTATATCCCATCCCCTGCCAACTGCAGCTGGGCCAGGAAATCAAACTTCCCAAAAGAAGGGTTCAACCAAATTCCAGCTTGGAACAAAGACCGTATTAGAGAGAGCATTCTGTGGGAGCCATCTGCATTTTGCGTTTGCATGATAGGCCAGTTGGAGAATAAGGTTGGTTGTCAGGTTGTCTGTATCACGTGAACACCTTAAGGTGAATCAGTGCTTCATCAATTCGCTTGGCAGGCACAGCGAGGCCAGATGGGAAAGCATCGCTTCCTCCCTAGTGAACTCCCATTCTTTCCTAAAGCAGAGAGGTTCGAGGTGAGATGTGAAGGGCAAGGGTTAGTCCTGATTGGAGCGTGGACTCGACCCCCAGTCAGTGGCTTCTCTGCCCTTTGTCCTTTTAGTTCAGCGCGTTTAGAGCGTGTGTGATGATGGTAAGCGAGGGTTAAGGGAGATTCTGCAGTTGACTGAGTGAGTTTATGAGAATGAGTTGATCTTGGACAGTGACTGAGTTATTCTTAAGCTACTTTATCTGATGCGTATAATCACAAGTCACGCTCTACACTTATTCAGAGCTCATTCAGGCTTGAGGTTCAGCAACTGTTACGCAGCTATATCCATTCCACCGAGGCAATTCAATATGTACCAACTCCATTTCCCCTCCCCCTCCCTGGACTAAAAGTCCGTCCACTTGGCTAACTAATCCCACTTCAGTCGCGCCGCTGGGTGAGCCAACCTGAGCGAGCCTGAGTCGAGGTCGCCCCCTCCCCACATCCCAAACATCCACAATCATCATAATGGATCCCGTTTCCGTTCTGATTCGACTCGTTTGTGGGTGGTAACTCGACTTAGGCCTCGTTAGTGTCAGTCTCGGGGGTCGGGGGTTGTCCAGTCGTATGGTGAAGAAATGGCAGGCAGTGCGTGTCATTCGCTCCTTGCGCTGTGTGTGCCCGCGGTTGGGTGCTCCCCTCATTTTGAAAAAATTTTAATTCGAAAAATTATTCCCATTTTCCCATTCCATTTAGGACAAAACAAAGAACCGAATACTGTTTCTCTTTGGTGTTGAAGTGCCATTTTTCGGTGTCTCGATACCTCTCTACCTATTCATTATTTTTGTTCAACAAAATCCACTTATTGGATCATCGTTATTTTTTACTTTTCCATTTTCCTACTATACCTACCCATCAAGCTCCCTCCGAGTCCATAAAGGTATGTTGATGCTAGAGCGTGCGTTGCTGCATTGCGGTTTTTGGTTTTGTGCTGCTGCTGTGTTTTGCTGCCCCTCCTTTGCGCGACAACAACGCCCATATTCGACATGCCTCGCCTATCGCAAATAGCGAAATACTTGTGGCCCCCGTTCTCGAATTTATCGAATACAAAATCAATATCGAATTTTTGTTGCGATTCAAACCCCGTTTTCTGCTCTCAAATCCGTCGATGCAAGAAATCCCTCGTTTGAAGCTTCGGCCTCACAACAACCCACTTCCAAAAGCCTTCCGTATTTGGCCTCCGTGTACGACCCGATATTCCGGCGCAAGCTCCGGTCTTCAACGGTCCGCGTCCGAACTATATCGCCTTTTATCTCCCGGTTCTCTCGAGAGCTCTGGTCTTGGTGTTGCCCCTCGGCACACTCGAAGTGCGGGGTTGACGATCTGGGATTGTCAGAGCTTATCATATGACTACCAATTGGACAATCACATTGTCCCGGCCTTCAGTATTGGAACCGAGCTCAACAAGAGCTGCGGTAGCCTCAACGGCATTTGCGCCACTACGAAGCTTGTGCGACTTGGAATAAGCCCATGTCGCCGTCGACCTTGGGTCCTCGACGCCTACAAGGGCATATTCGACCTCAATCAATGGACGGATTACCTATCATTCCATGTTGGACCAAAGACACGATGGACCATGCCGCTCTGGTGTACCCTGGAGTTGCGACAAAATATCCATACTGGCGACTAGGCGACAGCAGATACACAGCAGCAGCAGCACCATAATGCACAACTAAACACTGCATTGAATACTGTAACTAACTTTGTTGATTCAGACCTATCTTCAAAATGTCTTCTCTTTCTCGACGTGCTTGCTACAAGTGTGGCAATGTTGGCCACTACGCTGAGGTCTGCTCTTCTGCTGAGCGTCTCTGCTACAACTGCAAGCAGCCTGGTACGTGCCAATGATGTGTCAAGACAGACTTGATCTAATTTCCAAAAGGCCACGAGTCCAACGGATGCCCTCTTCCCCGAACCACTGAGGCCAAGCAGTGCTACCACTGCCAGGGTCTTGGTCACGTCCAGGCTGACTGCCCTACCCTCCGCCTGAGCGGTACCGGCACCAGCGGCCGCTGCTACAACTGTGGCCAGCCCGGTCACCTTGCTGTATGTGATGGCATTACCCTGAATTATGGACATAACTGACTGATATAGCGCGCCTGCCCCAACCCTGTTGGTCCTACTATGGGCCGTGGTGCTCCCATGGGTCGTGGTGGCTTCCCCGGTGGTTACGGCCGGGGTGGTTTCGCCGGTGGTCCTCGCCCTGCCACTTGCTACAAGTGTGGTGGTCCCAACCACTTTGCTCGTGATTGCCAGGCTCAGGCCATGAAGTGCTATGCCTGCGGCAAGCTCGGTCACATTTCTCGGGATTGCACTGCTCCTAACGGCGGTCCTCTCAACACTGCTGGCAAGACTTGCTATCAGTGCGGTGAGGCTGGACACATCTCTCGTGACTGCCCTCAGAAGAACGCTCCCGGTGTTGGCGAGATTCCTCAGGAGGTTGATATCAGCAGCGTTCCTGCTCCTCCCGTTGCTTCTATCGCTCCCGTGGCTTAAACAAACCCTGGAGTTGGCTGTTGGTGTATGCCCCTGGTGGCGTATGTCCCAACAGCGGTTCAGAGCGTCGTTCTGGGATGGCCGACACTTTTGCTTTTCAACAGTTGTTCTTTTTGATGCCGACACGTGAACATATCACTACATCCTTACTCTCAAATTATTTCTTTGTTTTGGTTCTTGTTCTTTGATCCGAAGCATGCATTTGCCAGCATCACTTATCTGGCCTCGACTTGCATGTCATTTTCGGTCCGTCCGAATTCATCTTTCACTTGAGCGATGCCACATTGTTCCAGCGGTGGTACATAGTCGATGCAGCATTGTTGCTATCACGACCCGCGAGGAAATGTCGGTACTTGACAAGGAAAGATTTCTAGCAACGAATTTCCTTTTTCCAACATTCACCTAGACTTGTTTGCGTGGATCCTTGGTTACTAGGGGGTCTCTGAACGGCTTGTCCGTTATCTGGCACCTTTCCTCAGATACAACCTTGGATCATTCACCCAAGGACTACTACTACGATTTGAACGACAGACGCTGTCACGTAGCTCTTAACGACTTTCGAAAATTACGGCACCCTGCGAAGGATATACCCCGCGAGGCGATGTGTTGGTTGTTGAGCTTGGAAAAGAAAAGCGCAGAGACTCAGGCTTTGATCAGTGAAGATGTCCCCGCTAGGATGCGGGTGAGATTAAGCCTCGGGAGAGCTTGTGTTGTCGCCTGGCGGCAGAAAAGACCAGTGGATGCGTGCGTGAGAGTGGTGGGCTGAAGGCCAGATGATCAATGATCATAGGGGATAGGATGCTGTTTCTTGTGGGCAACGGGTTTCTGATTGCGCTGATGCATGAAGAGCTCGTTCGATGCGGAAGATGGCATTCTACAGAACGGCAAACAAACAGACAAGCAACACAGTTTGTGAGGACAGAAGCCTTTGAAGTACTTGAGGCTTCCTTACTAATGGCTGTTTGCTTGTGCTCATTGTTTTGGCGTGGCTGATGGATGAGGAGTGGAGGCTGCAGTGGTGGTTAGTGACAGACGCGCAAGATGCGGCGAGAAGAGTTGTAAATGATTTGATACGCACCCATAACCCCCAATGAAGCGAAGTGGCATCAACGAAGCAGAATGTGTGCGGCGAGATGTGTTGATGACTGAAGATTGTATTGTATGAGTATGAGCATGAGTACTACGACTGGCTTTGTGTTTGTCACGGCAATGCCCTTGTATTGGTACATGGGACAAGAGCATAATGTCTCGGCGTTTGGGATCATCATTTTGGACGGTTGGTACACGATATGTATAACTCGGTAACTAATCCTGTCAGAGTCAGGACTCGACAGGTTGTTTTTGTTAGGTATGGTTTGGTGTAAGGTATATTGATCTGGCACAGATCAGAGGCGTACGCAAAGACAAATTCATCGAGGGCATGGAATGGCAACACTGGTAAGGCTAAAAAGAAGGGAAATTGTCCTTCTAATTAACATTGCTCAAGATTATGAGTATCAACTTAATAGTAAAAAGGCGATTGCAGTTCACTGTAGTATTGTTCATCTATTCCCAACGCTTGCAATGAGTTGATCATATGCATTTACCCTAAATTATCCAATTACTCCCTTACCCAGCCCATCTAATTTGCCTATCAATCATCATTTTCGTCGGTATGAGGTCCTCCTCTAATACTGGCAAATACCACCAATCTCATCGTCCATGGTCCACGACCCAGCAAGACCTTTAATCTCCACATCCTCCGTCAGACTAACATCATCCTGCAACGTCTTCCCCAAGAAGAAATCATTTCTCCCCTCCGTCTGCATCTTCCTCTTCATAAACCGCCTCGTCCACTCCTCAACCGCCGGCTCGCCCGTCTCATCCCTCGCCTGCTTCAAGAACGGAATAAGCGCCGTGCCGCCCGTGCCCTTCTGGTTCTCCTTGTTCTTGCGCGATGCGACTGCGAGGTTGAGCTTGTTGCGGGTTACTTCGGGGCTGCGGGAGCGGCTGCGCGCGCGGACTTGCTTGGAGGGGTTGATGATGTAGCGTGTCACGATGGCGATGTGCTTGTCGCGGAATGCGCTTAGCATGGCGAGACAGGCGTCGTAGGCGAGGCAGAGTTGTTTGTCTGAGTGGTGAGATTCGACGTATTCGCGGATGTTGGCGACGTTGGATACGTCGTTGAGGAAGCGGGCGTGAGGGCCGGGCATGTAGCGTCTCATCTCCATGATGAAGTTGTGTCGGTTTGCAGCACGGCCTCGATCGCTGTCTGAAGAGGGATCGCGAGGCTCGCCTGTCGGACGGTGCTCAATTCCAAGAATGATATCAAAAAATTGAATCAGACTGCTCTGAGCGTTGCTGCCACCGCTGTATTGTCGATATTCCTCAGTGCCGGAACCGTCTTCGTAAATGACACCATTAGGGAGGCCAGCCTCCGCCATGTTCTTGCTTCCAGCAAGGAAAGGTCTAATTCGGTGATAAAAGATGGTAGGATCGCAACTCTCGTGCATCCGCTGAAGAATATTCGTCAAGTCTGTGAGACGCTCTGCGAAAGTGCGCAGACAGCGCGTAACGGCAGCACTGTCTCCATGACGAGCAGCAGCAATGGCCGTCAGCATTAAAGGAATAATTGGCGCGCCACGAGCCTCGATGGCTACTGAAACAAGGTAGAACCATGATTCATCAAGAGCTCCAGTATATGTGTTTAGAGTGGCGAGATTCTCAAGGTTATCGATATCCTCGTCAACAAAGAGGGGTTTAAAGTTCCAGAGACAAACAGCAGCATACGTCGCAACAGGCGGCACTTCCAGATGCTCAGAGATCTCCAGCAGCGGAACGGAAATAGATGCAGGAAGTCTATCTGATGGTGAATCACCACCCCAGATATATCCATGGGCCATGAAGCCTAGTAGTGAATAGGCACGTCGCCACTCAGCGTCATGCTCGAGACCGATTGTCGACAGAACTGGTAATCTGTCGATAACACCACGCAGTCTGCGGCTGAGGATAAGAGCCTGGAGGTTTGCGGCGATGGCCTCCCATTTGTTGTAGTATGGATCCGGGAGACGGGTCAAGGGAAGAGTATCCGGGAGGAAGCCGTGAGTTGGCGAGATGCCGTACTCGGCTAGGACTGGGATAGAGGGAAGCATTTTATGTGAATATTCCCTCTAAAAGTTGTTGAAGGTTGTAAAGAGGAGAAGTCGCAGGCTGAAACAGAGAATCAGCAGATGCGAAAGAGCCGTGTTCCGGGAACCGGAGACGGAATAGTGGGGCCGCTCCGGAAGGATCAGATCAGAGAAGAAATAACAACGGTGCTTTCAAAACTCTGGGGTAGTTGAAGCCAAGGCCGGTAGTTGTGGAATAATGGATATGATGGAGAAACAAAGAAAGAACCAGCTTAAAAAAAAATTAGTTCTGGGGATAGACTACAAGGCCTAATAAATGACTCTTCCTATGTTTTCTCGTGCTAGTTTCTGCGGCGAAACGGTCGAGCAGAGAGCATGATTGGCCGATTCGGATGAGTGGACAGTTACGAGAACCACTGTAAAGAGGGAGGGTTCTAGAACGCCACATGGATGCAGAAAAAAGGTTTAATTAGCGCGCATAATGTGTTTTTCCCTGGTTGTGAACTTGTAAGTGCCAAAGAGGTTGCGGAGGGACCGGGTTGTCTGCGGACGTGAAGCCGGATCTTGCTCCGTCTTCGGCCGATGTGATGGTGCTTGGATTTGTAATTTACATTTACATGTGATGTTTTGTGGCTTGGGATCTGGGGTTTTGATAACGTTGATGGGAGGGCATTATTAATTGATGTTATTGCGAAGGGTGTTGTTGAGTTAGAGTTGAGTCTCTGAATGGTTGGTTTTTGTTACCCTACAGCTAGAGGGAAATGTCTCGGTTTTATTTCCGGCGCGCAGATCACATAACTAGATAGTATTCGATAGAGAATTTGGCTGTTGATGGTTGAGTCACCAACGGCCAAGCGATCTTTTTTTTTTCACTTATGTTTCAGTCATGTTGGTGGAAAGCGACAGGCAAATGGCTTCAACCACCCGAAACTCAATCGTTGTGAGACAGAGGTTATCCAGATTATGCATGGCTCCGATGATGTGGCCTCCTCAGCCTTGTTTAAGAAGTAATTAACTCGGGCAACATAACCATTGATAGCCACTGATACCAGAGTTCGTCTCTTACATATATAACGATAACGAAGACAAATGTGTACTCACTCACCATCTCCCACTTCAATTGCTTCAGTTGGTGTTGAAGTCTTAAAAACCCCCACCCCCACTATCCGCGGCTCGGGTCGATTTTAGGAAGGTGCACGGTACGTACCCCATTACGTCGATTGCATGAGGTCCAACATGGAAGACGCACGAACCACCAACACCGAACCAAGCTACCTCACGACGACCTTCAAGGTCAACCTCAGATGTGAAGAGGCCCATCTTCCTTGATATCTCCATAAAAAACTTGGGTTACTTGGCAAATAACACGATGCCTGTCCAGCAACATGTGCTGAACTGGCTCTACAGCGTTCTCACAAGCGTACGTATCTCCTCCTCCATACTTCCCCCGCTCGTTCAAAAGAGCTGACTTGAACGCGCTACAGGAGTATCACGATGTGAATCGTGCCTACAACGATGTCGCGCAGGCTCTCGACCGATTCCCCTCGCTATCGCCGCGAACCGATGTGCACAGTACGTTCGCATAGAGCTACCAACCAGCTTGCGCTCTAAACTCCAGCTTTGTCGCATTCGGATATTGACCCTCACCAGCGTTCTCGAATGGCGCCAATGCCTTGTTGCTTCATCTCTCGGGGACTCTCCCTGTTAATTTTCGCGGGACGACGTACCGTTTCCCCATTTCGATATGGGTGCCACACGCTTATCCGCGAGAATCACCCATGATATACGTTGTGCCGACTGAGACCATGATGATTCGACCGGGACAGCATATCGATCCGCAGGGTCTGGTGTATCATCCATACTTGGTGGGATGGGCTGAATTCTGGGATGTACGTTGCCCCCAAGCCACAGCTACAATGTGATGTTTTGTTGCTGACAAGATGACCAGAAATCTAACCTAAGGGACTTCCTCAACATCCTAACCGACATCTTCGCAAAAGAACCTCCAGTCGTAGCTCGGCAACCACAGGCCCGACCACCTCCAGCTCAAGCTAACCCGACACCTCCTCCTGTGCCGCCTCTGCCTCCTGGCATGGGATCAACCTCGCGGCCTGCAACACAGGATCCGCATCCCTCAGAACAGCCACGCCCTCCTCCACCACCCCCGAAGGGCCCTCAGACTACATCGCCTGCGCAGACACAATCTCAAAACGGACCGCCTTTGCCCCCAATCCCTGGACGCTCCCCGGCGCAGTCCAACCGCATGTCACGGCACGACTCAGCTCCTCCTCTGCCACCTCAAGTTGGAAGTCCAAATGCACAGGACCCAAGATTGCCTCGCCCTCAGGAGCAGTATGCGACTCGTCATATACCGCCTGCTGGACCGCCAATGGCTGCACAACCTGGATACATGAAAGATACCCAGTCGTTTGCGTCTCCGTCACAACAACAATGGCAAATGCCACCACAGCATCAGCAATATCAACAGCCTCCACAACCTCCGGCATGGACGGCCCAGGCAGCTCCACCACCACAAAGCCCTGCAAAACCACCACCACCTCCTGATCTGCTTGATGAGCCATTGGAGTTAAGTTTGCCAAATAGTACCGTAGCGGCTCCTCCTATCCCGCCCAATCCCGAAAAGGATGCGTTGTTGCGACAGTTAGCTCAGACACTGTATTCGATCAGGATGCGCAGCCGGCAGCAGAACGACTCAAGCATGGCTGGTTTGCAGGCACAAAGAACAGCAATGCTGTCAGCGATACCAGCCTTCCAGGCCGAAGGTGGCCAGTTGACACAATTGTCGAATGTCTTAACGTCAAACTCTAACATTCTACACGATGCTCTTCATAAAGCGGATGCAGTAATCGAAGGATCCAAGAGCCACCCTGTTCCAGATGTTGATGAGCTCCTTGTAGCTCCTACAGTAGTCGCAAACCAGCTATACACACTAGTGGCAGAGGAGAGAGCTATAGGTGACGCCATATTCATGCTTGGACGGGCTGTCGAGCGCGGCCGCATTACACCAGCAGTGTTTGCCAAGACGACAAGAACTCTTGCTAGAGAATGGTATCTGAAAAAAGCACTTGTGCGAAAGATTGGGCAAGGAATGGGCCTGGCCTCATGATGGGATACCATACGAAATTTGGACTGACGCAGCTCCCTTGCCAAGCGGGGGTTTAGTATTATTCTTGCAGCTGGCAGCCAGGAAGAGCTCCAGGATTGGCATCGTGCATGGAGTAGCAGTTACGTGGCGAGGCACTGGGCAAACTACGACAAGTAAGAGGGGGATTGCAACATACTTTTGAAACGAAGCCAAACGATTGAGTCGACCGGCTAGCTGGATGCCCGTGAAGTCTATCTTGCGATCTCAAGCCATCGATACGGCGAACAGCTCCCGATACGGTTGAAAAAGACTGGGCAGATTAAGAGTCAACGATCAACACCAAAGCGGGTAATTAAACTCTTGATATCAAAACGGATCCCATATCAAATCCATTCCCCTTCCCCCCATCCATGACGGCAATTGGCGTGCACGGAGTCAGGAACACGGGGGAAAAGAAACGAATCCGTCGCCTGGACCGTTAGCTCTCGGCCTGTCAAGATATGCACGGATCGATCTTCTGCACCGAACGAGTCTAGCGGGCTCAAAGAACAATACTAAGCCTCAAAACGCCACGAAATGCAAGAACAATACTAAGGCCAACCTCACCCCCACCGACCTTGGCATTCTTGGTTGAATGTGATAACACCCTTTGAATACAAATCCTGTTCCTGGACTACATTATTCCTTGCCGCTGACAATATCTAATTATTGCTTGCCAAGTTAGCTTAACTGTTTGTTCTTCAAGACCGTTCTCGCCTGGTGTGATCTGTTTAACCATGTTGCCACTTTCTCAATTCTCTTCAGCGTTATACAAGACTTCTCTTCTCACTTCACTTCCATTCTACCCTCTCTTATATATATCTTGAAGAGCTCAGACCTCTTAGTTCTCCGTTCGCTCGTGAACTGTATCCATCCATCTTTGCCACGTTGAGATCCGATCAACATCTACCAACAGCCAACTCCCCTTTCACTTACACTTCACTCCTTTCACTGCTGCTTATCAGATCGCAAGCAATGTCGACCTTTGATCCGTTCACGCAGAACGTCACGTTCTTAGCAGCTGATGGAAACACCACCATCAGCATCCCCGTGATGCTCGTTGACGAGATGCGTCGCATGATGGTCAACACCGTCATCAACTATGCCACACAGCTCGGCGCCTGTCTCGTCATGCTCGTCGTTCTCCTCGTAATGGTGCCCTTTTCCAAGTTCAAGAGACCGTTCAACGCTCTTCAGATCCTCAGTCTCGTCATCTGCTCGGTCAGAATGGTGCTGCTTTGTATCTGGAACATCTCCAAGTTTGCCGACTTTTACCCCTTCTGGTCTCATGACTTTAGCCATATTCCTACCAGTGGGTATGCACCTGCCATTGCCGCCAATATCATCTCGCTCTTGCTCGTCATCTCGATCGAGACGATGCTCATGAGCCAGGCTTGGACGATGGTTAAGCTGTGGCCGAATCTGTGGAAGTATATCATCACTGGTCTTTCACTCGTCATTTCTCTCATGACGATTTGTGTGAGGATTGCTTTCACGGCTGTTCAGATCGAGGCAAATCTCGATACCATTCCGCCGTGGCACATGCTCTGGCTCATCAAGTGGACGGTCATCATGAACGTGTCTTCAATCTCATGGTGGTGTGCCATCTTCAACATCAAGCTCATCTGGCATCTCATCTCCAACCGTGGTATCCTGCCATCTTACAAGACACTCAACCCCATGGAGGTCCTTGTCATGACCAACGGTCTCCTGATGATCATCCCAGGCAAGTCTCTCCCTCACAGCCACTCGAATTCCTCACTAACACTCCACAGTCATCTTCGCCTCTCTTGAATGGGCTCACTTCGTCGACTTCGAAGCAGCATCTCTCACCCTCACCTCCGTCGCCGTCATCCTCCCCCTCGGCACCCTCGCCGCACAGCGCATCGCCGCCAGCAACGCCAACAGCGCCAACTCCTCCGGCGCCTCCAGTGGCATCCGCTACGGCGTCAGCGGGCCTAGCTCCTTCACTGGCTTCAAGGCACCCAGCTTCAGCACCAACCGCAGCGGCGCCACCGACAGACCTCACGTCTCAGTGTACGCCCGCTGTGAGGCTGGGACTTCGTCTCGCGATCACATCAACCCCGAGGATGTTGAGCTCGGTAAGATGGACGGTGACCATGTCCGGGTTGACAAAGCCTTCTTGCAACGTGAAGAGCGGATCTAGGCCACCCTCTTCAATTTCAGCTTCCACGAAAAGACTGCTTTTGGGAAATGGTATTACATGTTCATGTTTTCGACCAAAACAAAACTTCTAGCGCGGCGTATCGGCACAAGTTGCTTTCTTCATTTACTGCTTTTCTTAGCAAACAGCTTTCATACCCAATGCGGTGGATGATGCTTGAGATAACTCGCATCCTACATTCTTTAGTTTATGATATCTCTTTTGAATCGACGGCTTTTAATCATGGACGATGCTATCCATGCCTTGCTTCTTTAGTTAAAAGATGGATAAGCGCTCAAGCGCACAATAGCGATGAATACATTCAGATTGCCAACCCTGCCTTACCCACTGTGATGTCCAGTGTTAGTTTCAGAGTGCTATGTTATCAGCTGCAAGGTAAGACAGTCAGAATGTGATGTGAGTGATTGACACTAAATACTGTATAACAGCTACCATCCAGGCCCGAGTCGCACCAAGATGACATAACCAAGCCTACTCCTTCATCTGGAACTCGTGCGATGAGGCATTTATCTACTCGCTGCGGCCTCCTGAAATCCTTCTGACCTTTTCCTTGCACAAACTAACAAGTCGCTTCAGCTCATTTGCGCGTACCGGTCGAGGTTGCTCCAACTCACAGAATACCTTGGAGACAAATGTGTTGTACGCGGGTGCAGTCTGACGATCATTCTCAAGAAGCTCGATGAGTTCCAGTTCCTTTCCAATGTCGGGCAGAGAAAACCGGTTTGCCGCTCGGGAGAGGGCATGCTTGGTGCGAGAGAACCGCCTTTGAGGTTCTGCGAACAAAGGAGGCGGCGCTACACTAAGTCCAGCCTCTCCATCAATGTTGAAGCCTGCCTGGGTGATGGAACTTCTAGGGAGGGACGATGGCTTTCCCAGCGAAAGAGGCGAGATGATTTCGTTGGTGAGAAAAGTTTGACCGAGAACGGGCTGACTGGGGATCGCATCAATTGAATGGGGTGATAGGGGTTCGTCATTTGCAAACTCAGCAGCCTGGCCAAACTGCACCACAGTATCATCATCAGAGCCCCTAAGTGCCTTCTCTTGGGATGGGGTGATATCTCTCGAACTTGTAGTGCTCCATTCTGAGGGTATCCTTCGATAAGATGTAGAAATCTGTCGAAGGGTGCCCTTGAAGGTCCTCAGAGCACCAACAACAGAACTTTTTCGCTTGCTGATTTTGAACATAGGCTGCTTACCAGTATCGATCGGACGGGGAGAATCAAGTAGAGGAACCTGGCGATCAAGGGACTCAAAAAGGTCGATCTTTTGCTTCAACGGTGAAATGTACTTCTCTGTGTTACGCCGACCGACAGGAGTTTGTGGACTTTCCACTGTAGCACGGCTCCCACGAGGAGCATAACTTTTGGACCTGAATTTTGGCGTATTCAATATTTCGGACTCCGAAGAATCGGAATATCCCAAAAGAGGATGCTTCGATGGCGAATAAGGCGCCTTGTTCTTGGTAAGGATTGACTCGCGCTTTTTGGTGTCAAGAGGAGCGACAGGGGCCACTGGCTGATCCTTCAACTGATCAAACTGCTTCCTGAGACTGGAAATCCTAGAACGTGGTAGGCTTGAGCGACTTGGGGTACTTGCTCTCGCGGACCTGAAAGACATGAGACCGCTGTTGTTACTCGCAGGTTGGCTGGGGACATCATGGGATCCACGAGATTTCCTTCGAAGGCTTGAGCCTCCTGCAGCGACTGTATTTGACAATGAAGATGCTATCTTGCGAGCATTTCGCACCCAGCCATTCTGCCGGGTTTCTTCGATTGTGACTTCGTTCTTGTCAACAAAAACATCATTGCGAGTATCATCAAGCTTGAATCGAGTCGTAGATACCGCCTGCACAGATGATGGTGTCATTTCGGTGTACTGAGACTTGATGTAGCTTGGACTCGCATCAGGCGCACTCATGACGAGACTGTTACGCTTGAAAGAGGTCCATGAGTCATCTGGTCGATTCAAAGGAGATCGCCATGTGCCAAAAGGGTCATCAGAAGCCAGGAGTGTCCGCGGTGAGGGGACAATACGAGACGTAGGCGAGAATGGCTTTGCAACGTGCACTGAATTCGGCGTAGTGGGAACATCGTCTGCTCGTGGTTCTGCGGCTGACCGTCTTGTCTTGATCGATTGCCAACTTTTGGAATGAGCCAGCTTTGATGGCGAACGAGGAATAGAGGTACGGGTGGGACTGGAGGCTTCTATTTCTATCAGAGAGTCAATGCTTTCCTACAGAAGATACACCCGAAACACATACGCGCCTGTTGGTCTGCAGCCTCAAACATTATTCGTCTCTCTGCCACAGACTTTTGCCTTGCCTTTGAGTCCGCATTTCTAGTCGATATCACAGGCGACTGGGCACCAAAAGTTTTTACTCGACGGGTACGAGAGGGTTCGTGGCTTGAAGGAACGAAACGACCAGACGAGACATGGCTAGAACCGGTGGAGCCTCTTTCTCGTCTCTTTGTCGATGAATGAGATGATGGCTTCGAGGCGCTTGATGAAGTTTGCTCAATTGTCGAGGTGACCTTGATAACAGAAGTGGGCTTCGTCTTTGATGAAGGAAGAGGAGGGCTGCCAAAGGAGGAGACTGCTTCAAGAACCTCAAACTTTGAGAGAAGCTGGGCGAACTTGCTGTTGGCCAAGCTGCGGGTATCTGAGCTTTCGGAGACGAACTTGCGTGGTGAATTCTTGCGGGAAGACGAATGCGTGCTCATGTTGGCGGCCTCCAAAGACGGGCGAGGCTGTGATATTGATGAAGATCACGTCTTGATGGTATAATATCACGAGAAAGTGTCGAATGTCGATGCCGTCAAAGTCTGTTCAAAAGATGAGGATGAATCTGCCTGGAACAACATTGTAGAATCGACAGAGATGTCATGAGTTTGGCAGCTGGAGACGGCAAGGCCATGATTGCAGATGGAAGGAGCACCCTCGCCCGATCGCATCGCATCTAGAAGGAAGCGCGATATAGATGATGCACATGCCTACCGAGCTACCTAGCACTGGAACCTACGGCAAGGTACATATGCACCGCAAGCCGTATCCTCAGAAATAAATGTCTCCAGTCTGTTGTGGTTAGCATAACAAAGGCGAGTCTTCAGTATTCGACGTAGCCTTAGGAGCCAAACAGGAGTAGGGGAGACGTCTTATCATTTCCAACCCCAGCCATAACGGCCATGTCGATTTCTATACAGCCCATATCATAATGCCCAAGTCAGGCACAGGCCAACCTTGAAATCCCATCGTGCCTAAACGTACACTGGACGCCAACTAATGTACAAAGTATTTCGATTATGTAGTTCATGAGGGATGCGCAATCCCTACTAATAACTTTTTTCCCCTCCTCCAAATTCTTGATCGCGTATCGTTGCGGCGTCATTTACTGGCTGTCGAGGGATCAGTTCATGTTCGTCGAAACTCGCATGCCGGGTCAACTTACGGAGGCAGAAGGATCTCGCCCCAAGAGCTAGACAAGAATGTCACAACAGCCTAATTCCTTCATCAGCACTGGTTCATCTTCAAATTCAAGATCGCAAGACCAAACTTACACCAAAGATGGCAATGCTGCGGACGACAGCGGCGTTGTCGGGAGAGGTAAGAGCGTCATAGGTGGAGCCGATGAAGCCCTTGGGGGCGCGGCGACCACGAGGCTCAACTTGGATGCGCTTGGGAGGCATTGCGATTATATGGTCGGGTATGCGAGGTTTATGAGTTCGTGATGACTCTAAGTCGATAGAAGAAGCGGGCGCGTGGTTGTCGTTGATCTGGTCGTCGAATTGGAGCAAAAATTTCCGGTACAGCTCGCAATGAAGCTTTTCCACTGATAGCGCGATAGCGGCTAAAGTCACATGACGCGCGCTTGTGAGATGCAACTTGGAAGTTCAAAGCCTACAGAAAAGATGGAATGAGTATTATTCCAATCAAGTTCAGTTGGAAGCAGTATTATAGGAAGTCAAACTTATCCCATTTGCTCAAAAGTCTCGACTTGTTATCTCAATCGTACTTGTACTCGTTGATGCTGGTCCAGCTCCCGGGCACTGCAAGAACTGAGTACGTACCGAATCCGGCAGTTACCCCACCATGACTGAGTATCGCCAACACCTTCGTCATCTTTATCGCGGCTTATCTTATTAATTGTGCTTGGAACCGTCGTATATACTTCATCAAATTCACCCACAAAGGATTATACCTGTTTTTTCTAAGTCTTAAACATAATCTCTTGGAGACCCTCTTGATAATAAATAAGTTTCCGTTCTGGCAAAGACAGAGGCAGCAACAGTGCTTCACTTTCACTCTCGGCATTCACCCTTGTGCTCACTCTTCTTTCATCAACCTACCTCAAAACGAACTTTATCGCGCAAAAGAAAAACATCTAAAAATGGAATCGCCAGGCCCTGGTGGCTTCTTGCCAGCACCTGCTGGTGCAAGTCTTCCTTCACCTGCACCCTCATCAGCTTCATCATTCTCAAACATCCAAGGTCTTCCTACACCAAGAACGAAGGCCCTGAAACCCAACTCAAGTAAAGAGTTCATGGTGCGAAGATATGCCGAGGAACAACTTCTACTAGTAACACGGCGATATGTCAAGAAGTTTGGCAATCCAGAACCCGGCGATACAGTGGTGGGATATACTAGATTTGGTGAAGTATGCCGAGATCTCGATAGCATCACCAATATCTTGTGGAAATCAGGCACTCGTAAGTCACTTAAATCCATGGATCGAAGCCTGACACTAATAATGGACAGCATCCCTCCAAATACCCTTCTTGTTACGTCTCACAAGTGACTTCACACGCTATGTCCGCTCATTCCCTCCCGCACCAAAGGCTTCATTCGCAATACTCCGCAAACTAGATCACTGCTTTGCAAGTCTTCTTTCCGGCCAAGACATCGAAACTCACGAGACATTACCTGGATTTGAGAACGGACTACGCGGTGGCATGACAACGACAGAAATGATCCGCTGCCGAAGTTTAGTTGATCAATGTCGCGTTTTGATGGTGGAAGTAATGCGAGATCCAGCTGAAGAGGACGAAGAGGATGAAGAGGCAGAGACGGATACCGACACAGACGCGGAAGAACCGGGGATCAAGGGATGGGGAGGCGTGGAGGACGATGATGAGATGATGCTCCAGCTTGATGCGGCACGGGTCTTTGAGAAGACAATTGTGCAGCTCAACGAGAGACTCGGTGATCTGGAGCCATTGCAGATGTCTGCTGATTGAGGTGTTCTAAATACAGAAGCACTATATTCTGGAGATTCAGGTGCCGCGTTCAATGAGCTGAAGTGACTAGTTTCAGGCGTGATCATGCACAGATATGAGCTGAACCTTTAGACTGGTCACCGTGTGGGGTGAGCATTGATCGTGGTGCTTGGCTGCAGGACCGTCTTGGGACATGCTTTGCGAAGAGAGATGAACCGGCTCTTCTATAACATGGGGATACATAGGGTTTGATAAGGCTGGTAGATCAGTGGGGGATAAAGTGAATGACACCAGCACAGACGGATAGTTGATTGTCGAGATCACGCATGGTGTTAGATATCCGAGAATCGTGGCAAATCTGCGACGGATCAATCTACAATTAACCACGACTCGAGAATTGTTTCTGATCGACTTGCTCAAGCACAGTAATAACGAGACGGCCATTTACTTGACTACACGTTGCTGGGCCGGGAGCTGTCAATTGAGGCTGTGACTGGCCTCACCTGTCAAATCGTGAAACACAAGGCGTCGGAAATTTAATTACCAGTTCTAGACACTACCAAAAAGCCAAGCCTCAGTCAAAACCCCGCTGCTCAATAGATTTGACTTTCCGAATCGTAGATCGTCTTAATGATTGACAGTAGCATAAACTCTAACTGATTGTCTCACGGTAGCCGAGATGCACTTTTCTCAAAATGGCAGTGAACCATTACGACACAAAGAAGCACCTCTCAAAATACAATGACTGAGATGTTCAATATTGAACTATATGCATAATATTGTGTCTTCATGATAAAGATCAGACCGTAGCATGTCCTTGTTAGTCACTCTTCATCCCTGACACCTCCTTTCTTGAGCCGCGTAGGCTGCTTTTCCTCGTTGGTTAATGATTCACACGGTTTTGTTTCATGTACCTGCCAAGATCCAAGCACCATCCATGCCCACCACCAGTAACCGCTCACCAAGTCATTACCTTATTTTCAGAAACAATTTCACAGAATAAAAGGCCTCTTTTCTTTTCGGAGATGAATTTCTTGTCTGGTATGAATGGTCTGGGGTTCATATTGGTCGGCGAAAGCGAAAATGATATCCATATTTTCTCTGACCCCCTGGTTTTATTTCCGATGGCACTAGTTAGCCCCGGTTCATACGCTGCCACGCACGTTTTCTGTGAAGAGAGTTATCTTGAGGTTGTTGAGAATGCATTATCTTGGTCAATGTTAGGCATGAATGCGCTGTACAAGACGAACTTGGCACATCGTGGTTGGTGGTGTACACTAAAGAGAGCATCAACTCCAGACTTGGCTTCTGTAGCTCCATACATATCAAAACTCCTCTCAACAACGAATCAACTCCAGAACAAATCTTCAAAACATAGCGTCTTCTAACCCCTGCCCTCTCGTTTTGTGGCGTACCTATCCCGAAGTGCTAGCTCCATTCCCATAAACCCATCAAGTCAAACCATCCAGTCATGCTCCTCCCGTCCCTGAACATCACCCGCCCGCCCAGCCTTTGATTCATGCAACACAATTCTACCCCATGTTCTCCGTGCCCCTTTGGGCAACTGAGCCCCGAGGTGAACAGGAAACATCCGGTCCTCACATCTCGTTTCTGTCTCCCCTAACATGGAGGACTCCACTCATAAGAGCCGTATATATAGAACAATGCGCTTGTAAACTCGTCTTGTCTTCCTCTCCACACCGGTCTTTCTTTCTGTGTCTTGACGTTCTTTTCTGACCTCTTTGCTTTCGAGATACGTGTATCTCAAGCTTCTTTCGTTCCTTTCATATACATCGCCTTCTCCGGTTTCATTCCTTTAGCCCTGGAGGCATAACATTCCTTACCTGTGACATTTGTTCTCGTCCACTCCTTTAGAATTCAGTATCAAAGACACATTATACAGTTCCGATCAGTTCAACGCCGACTTACACGATGCTCAACTTCATTCCCATCATCGCAGGCCTCGCCTCCCTGGTCTCAGCTACCAGCGCCCCAACCCGCCCCGATCTCAAACTCATCTGGAAAGACGAGTTCACCGGGTGTCAAGGCTGCTCACCCAAGACGAACAACTGGAACACTGCTCTCAACATCAACTCCAACAACGAACTCCAGGTGTACTCCACCTCCAACAAGAACATCCAACTTTCCGGCGGTGACACCCTCCAGCTCGTTCCCTGGAAGGACGGGAAGGGCGAATGGACCTCTGGACGTCTTGAGTCCAAGAAGGCTTTCCACGCAGACAAGAACAAAGCTCTTCGTGTAGAGGCTAGTATTCGCATGGGTGATTCAGCTCGTAAGCAGGGTATCTGGCCTGCGTTTTGGATGCTTGGCGATGCACTCCGCCACGGAACTGGATGGCCCCTTTGTGGCGAGATCGACATCTTCGAGAGAGTTAATGGTGACTTGACTGGTTTCGGTACTGTTCACTGTGGTCATGAGGGCGGCGGTCCCTGCAATGAGCCCGAGGGTCTCGGACAGCGAGTCACTATTCCAGACAACGAATTCCATGCTTGGTCTGTGGTTATCGACCGTCGTGCTAGCAGCTGGCAGGATGAAAAGATCACCTGGCTGCTTGACGGACAGCCCTTCCACAGCATCACGGGCAAGACACTAAATGATGAGGGAACTTGGGCTACTCTGGCTCATTCTCCCATGTACATTCTCCTCAACGTCGCTGTTGGCGGAACCTGGCCTGTAAGTTCCAGCAATTTTAGTGTTTAAAAGTAGCATAAAACTGATCGTATTATGCAGGGCAACCCTAACAAGGCCACCGAAGCCGGCTACAAGAACATGATGGAAGTCGCCTACGTCGCCGTCTACGAAACCACAAACTAGCTACCCTCATAACTCGCAATTCTTTAAAACTCGTTTCAAACTTCTTCTGCCAGTCCTTGCCTGGAACTTTCTTCATTTTCTTCCCACCCTCATCTATCTGAGGGTGTGCGACCATCGAGTCCCTTTGAGACTGGTCTCTCTGTTCGGCTCGACGGTTGTTTGCTGGATTAAACCCAGCTTTGTCTTGTTCCATTTCCGCTGTATAACTTGCGGATACCTGAAGTTCATCATCTGTGCAGCGGATCGGTGTAGATAGATACTTGGATACAAAAACAAGACTCACGACGTTATGACACAAACTTACGCCCAACTCTGCAATGTGACTTCTGTGCTTTTGGCCCGAATGAGACAATCTTTCCTAATCATTTAAACTCTGCAGCTTATTTAGTTCTGTGAATGTATACACTCTAGCAGTTGGCACGATAAGCATCCTGAAAACAAGCTTGTGGGGGAGTTATCGATGGGTTCCAGTGGCATGAAGTCCAGATCCATGTCAACCATGGAATACCATGGAACTGCGTACCCCCCAAGGAGCATGAAAACTCATAGTATTAAGTCGGGGCTGCTAGTGACTGCTAAGATATATTAAACTTATCCAAGTGTTTTCTTACCTCCCTTAACTACCTTTGCTTAAGTGATCGATAGTGCCGAAAAGATCAACCTGATATACTCTCGAGTTCTTTTTATCATCGTCTTTCACGAACGGATGACATCCTTTATGCTCAATCAACTCTACAGCTTACTCGCTTACTCACGTTGGAAGGACATTACGACCGGGACCATGTCATGGAGGAAACTATGTCAATATTGAACAAGCCTGCCAAGTCTTTATAGCCAGTTGTCGCTGACAAGAGGCTATCTATGTGTCTAAATATATACAATGAAGATCTAATATGTACAACAAGGGTCGAACACCTGGTCCAGGATGCCATGCTATACAATGACAAGCCTGCTCATGAGAGGATCCCTTCTGAGACGTTTTATGGTCTCTCCCACAACCGATGGATCTACCATTTAGTTGGGGACGCATTGGGAGTAGTACTCATTCTGCTTGACACACTTGCTTCCAGTAGCGCAAGCGAGGTTGCCGTTGGGATAAGCGGACTTGGAACCACCACACTGGTAATAGGCCGGGACAACGGAGGCCTTTGCGGTAGCGTCAGTCTTGGCCGGGCAGCTTCCCCGGGTTTTGGTTCCACGGACCTTCTGGGTTGTCTTGGGCTTGTTGACGGGTTGAGCGGGCTTGGTAGCAGCAGGCTTGGTGGCGACAGGCTTGTCGGTCTGGGGCTTCTCGGCAGGCTTAGTGGGCTCAGGCTGAGCGGCGGGCTTGGTGGAGGACTTCTGGACAACAGGAGCGGAATCCTTGGTCTTCTGAGGCTGAGCGGCAGCAGCAGCGGAGGTGGTCTTCTTAGCGGAGCTGGAGGGCTGGGGCTTGCTGGCCGAGGTATCACCCTTGAAGGCAGGGAAGCTGGAGTCGTCGTCACGCTTGCATCCACTGATGTCGAGGAGAGCCTTGGGGCACTGGACCTGCTCAAAGGTGAAGTCAGGGTTGTCGGCGTTCTCGAACCAGTCGAATCGCCAGTGGCAACCGTCCTTGAGAAGCTCGGGGAAGCTATCACACTCGCTTCGAGAGGAGATACCGCCGTATTGGGCACCGCCGAGGGCCTTGCCGAACTCAGAGGTGCAGCCGTCGAAGATACCGACACCACCGCCGGGCATCATGAGATCGAAGTGGTTGTCGCCAAGATCACCTCCAGTGTTGGTAGACTGGACGATCATCTTCTTGCCCTTGACGGGACCAGTAGTGAAGGTCAAACTAGAAAGAGTCAGCATGTTGTTAAGATCTATGTGCGAGAGACTGACGCATAGCAAGCACAGCACCAGCTGGCCTCGGAGCCACCGGAGATCTTGGTGGCAGCGAAACCGTAGGCAAGCTCATCGTTGACAGCCCAGGGAGAGTAGTTGGTGCAGGCATAAGCAGAGCCACCACCCTCACAGCCGTTGACAGCGTTGGTGTTGGAGATGGGGTTGTCGTTCTTATCACAGGTCAAAGCAGGGGCGTTGACAGCAGCCTTTCCACTCCAAGAGCAAGAAGGCTTGCAGCAATCCCAGTATCGAGTAGAGTGACCACTTCCAGAAGCAGCACTCACGGCGAGAGGGCCAGCCAGGGCGAGGAGAGTATAAGATCGCATTGTTGCAAAAGTTGTTTTGGTTAAAGAGTGACTTTTTTGAAAGAGAGTGTATGTAATTCTAAAGAATGAATGAAATGAATGAATGAATGAGAAGGCAGTGCTCGAGTGTCCAGCAACCAGAACGTCGGGACGCAGGCTTCATCTTATATACAACCGCCCAACCCGAACTCCCGCGTATTCAGCCTATGCTGCGCCGTGAACAGTCAGATATCATGAGCACATTTCGTCCAAGTGGTCAGTTAGTCTAGGTCAAACTAGCGCAGGTACAAATTCAAGGATCACGAAAAGTCAAGATGACAAGCTGATGGTGGTGCAATGATTGGACCTAGTCAGCATATCGATGCAGGTCGGGAACGGGAAACAGATCCTCCACTAATAAGACGTCTAGGAGCTGGTCTGACGGACAAGGGACGGCAAGGCTGGACCGAACGAGTGAGAAATGAAGTCTAGGAGACTTTGGTTTCAGGAACAGTTGTGGGGAAATTGACAACCGTTGTCCTTTCTCTCGGCCGCCTCTCCCGAGATTGGGCCCGAGTGGCAGGGATAGAGATTGGAGGCTGAACGGAGCAGACAAAGGCGATGGTTCTAGAAGTGGTAAAGACTGCCTGCACGATACAGGTGGTTCATAAGAAGCGATGCCGTTTATACCGTAGACGCTGGAAATAAGATGAGACTCCTTCTAGAATGCTCTGGTGGTTTAGCACTGGGGGGGGCGCCGTTGGTGTAAGTGCCCCTGTGATGGGTGAGCTACTGTAGCGTTGCCGGATGCAACGTTGACGCGAATCGCGCGCCAAGAGGTGAAACAGATAGACTTTGAGATGGCGGATGCGACGGAATGTCGGCACCTTTAAGCACTTATTATGAAGCCGCGATGGCTTCAAGTTGCGGTGCAGTGAAAGTATGTACGGAGCATATCATCTTAGCTCCGGGGTCAAGATTGATTAGCACTGATTTGTAAATACTGAGTGTGGTGGAAGAGCATATACCGATATGCTTCTGGGCTAATCTATGTAAGTTCACAGTGAGGTTCTGATTGACTCTGCTGGGTGTATCATAAGCTTAGTGCATTAGTTTATCTGTTTAGGCTGAACTCTATGTGTTATCGTAGTGCTTAGAGTACACTTAACTCTATCTTCTCAATGTTGGACCTGGTAAATGAACTCGGTATTTCTGTTGTACTTATTCCATGGATTACAACGACTCACCCTGTGTGGCGGAGATTAACCTCGCGATTACCAAGAGGCTATTTAACAGGTTACCGTAATTGAGCTGATGCCGAGGTTGATACTTGAACTGAATAACACCGCAAAAGCGTGCAACTTCTCCTTTCTGTTCATGCACAAGGCAATGGCAGAGTCGGTTCAAGAGAATATGAGCTGTTTTGACCAGGAGTCTGGCTACCCTAGACCAAATGGATCGAGGATTGTCTTTTTATCATGGGGGCATGGGGTCAAAAGTTGATTGAAATTCAGCCACAGATTATGGGGTGGTGAACGCCACACCTCACCCGCTCTTGAACTCAGGATTATTCATCAACGTGGCGCTCTTCACATGACGCTAACCATACCAAGACTAGCTCATTCTGGGCGCGTCTCGTCGCCTCAACCTCAGGCTCCTGAATGCTTAGTGAGGATTCATTGTAACAAATTCATCACCTCTCCACCACGACCCTTCACCTCGCGCATTCCTCAACATCGCTCTATCTCCTGGCTTGAGATTCCTGTCGACCTGTCCAACTCATCGGCAGATGCTCACGGGGTGCATCAGGCGCCAGGTCCAAAACTGACCGCCCTGACTTCGCTGTCGTAGCTCCTTTGTCCTTCTTTGAATAATTTCGACGCAACTGCCTAACGGGCGCATTCCATCGATTTGAGCCGCAACACCTTATCGCCAACCTTTTAATTCCCTGAGAACTCGATCACTGTATTTATAGCGACAAATACCGACATCATGGACGACTACGAGAACGAATCCGACTACGATTATGGCTACGACGAGGGTATCACCCCCGAGGACTGCTGGACCGTAATCTCGTCCTTCTTCGAGACAAAGGGTCTTGCATCGCAACAGACCGACTCCTTTGATGAGTTCACCCAGACAATGGTGCAGGATCTCGTCAATGAGTACTCCACAATCACCCTCGACCAGCACAACCCTCCTGCGCCCCCTGGAGTCAACATCGCTTTGCGACGATATGAAATCAAGTTCGGGAGCGTCATGGTGTCACGTCCCTCTATGAGCGAGACTGATGGAACTGTGACTAACCTCCTACCTTACGAATGTCGTGACCGCAACCTCACCTACGCCGCGCCGACCTACCTCAAAATCACCAAGAAAGTCTCCGTCGCAGTCGACAAGGAGATCCCTCTGCACGAAATGGACGACGAGCAGCAGGCCGAGTACAAGCGAACCGGTGAAAACCCCACAAAGCTGGTATGGGAAGTTGAGGAGGATGCTGGAAGCATAAAAACTGAGGATGAGCCTTCGGAGATGATTTTCATCGGAAAGATGCCCATCATGGTCAAGTCCAAGATTTGCCATCTGAGCAGCCATTCCGACGAAGACCTCTTCATGCTCAATGAATGTCCTTATGATCAGGGCGGTTACTTCGTTATCAACGGTAGTGAGAAGGTCCTGATCGCCCAGGAACGTTCTGCGGCCAACATCGTTCAAGTCTTCAAGAAGGCCCAGCCTAGTCCTTTCACCTACACTGCTGAAATCCGCAGTGCTCTTGAGAAGGGTTCTCGTCTTATCTCGAGTCTTACGATGAAGCTCTACGGCAAGGGAGATTCTGCGCGCGGTGGCTTTGGTCAGACTATCCAGGCTACCTTGCCTTTTGTCAAGGCAGATCTTCCTGTCGCCATCGTCTTCCGAGCTCTTGGTGTTGTGTCTGATGAGGATATTCTGAACCACATTTGCTACGACCGCAACGATAGCCAGATGCTGGAAATGCTTCGCCCTTGTATTGAGGAGGCTTTCTGTGTCCAGGACCGAGAAGTTGCTCTTGACTTTATTGGAAAGCGTGGAAACAGAGACCAGGCTAGTCTGGGTCGTGAGAAGCGTGTTCGTGTTGCAAAGGATATTCTCCAAAAAGAGACCCTGCCCCATATCTCCCAATCAGAGGGTAGCGAGACACGCAAGGCTTTCTTCTTGGGCTACATGGTGCACAAGCTTCTGCAGTGTGCTCTTGGACGTCGTGAGCCCGATGATCGTGATCACTTCGGCAAGAAGCGACTTGATTTGGCCGGTCCTTTACTGGCGAAGCTCTTCCGCGGTATTATTCGAAGGATAAACACTGAACTCTCCAACTACCTCAAGCGATGTGTTGAGAGCAACCGAAACTTCAACCTGACTGTCGCTATCAAGCCATCAACACTTTCCAACGGTCTCAAGTACTCTTTGGCCACTGGTAACTGGGGTGATCAGAAGAAGGCAGCAAGCTCGACAGCTGGTGTCTCTCAGGTGTTGAACAGATATACCTTCGCCTCTACTCTTTCACATTTGCGCCGAACCAATACTCCCATTGGACGAGATGGTAAATTGGCCAAGCCCCGACAGCTTCACAATACTCACTGGGGTTTGGTGTGTCCCGCCGAAACGCCTGAGGGTCAAGCTTGTGGTCTGGTCAAAAACTTGTCTCTGATGTGTTATGTCAGTGTCGGCTCTCCAGCCGATCCTCTCATTGAATTCATGATCAACAGAGGTATGGAAGTCGTTGAGGAGTACGAGCCGACAAGATATCCCCACGCTACAAAGATTTTCGTCAACGGTAGCTGGGTTGGTGTTCACGCCGACCCCAAGCATCTCGTGAATCAGGTTTTGGACACAAGACGAAAGTCGTACGTCCAGTTCGAAGTATCACTTGTTCGTGATATTCGAGACCGTGAATTCAAGATCTTCTCAGATGCTGGTCGTGTCATGAGACCTGTCTTCACAGTCCATCAGGAGGATGACTACGAGAACAACATCACCAAGGGACAACTAGTGTTGACAAAGGAACATGTCAACAGGCTAGCGCAAGAGCAGGCAGAGCCACCTGCCAACCCCGCTGACAAGTTTGGATGGGATGGCTTGATTCGCGAAGGAGCTGTCGAGTATCTCGACGCCGAGGAAGAAGAGACAGCCATGATTTGCATGACGCCAGAGGATCTCGAACTTTACCGTGAGCAAAAGAATGATGAAGCTACACTCACGGAAGAGGAGAAACGGGCCAAGGCTGAGGCAGAGAAGAGGGAACAGGAGGAGGACCGCAACAAGCGATTGAAGACAAAGGTCAACCCCACAACTCACATGTACACACATTGCGAGATTCACCCCAGTATGATTCTCGGTATCTGTGCCAGTATCATTCCTTTCCCCGATCACAACCAGGTATGTATGTCCTATGACCATGCATGGACTCAACTAACAGCAATAGTCTCCTCGTAACACCTACCAATCTGCTATGGGTAAACAAGCCATGGGTTTCTTCTTGACAAATTACTCTCGCCGCATGGACACCATGGCCAACATTCTATACTATCCTCAAAAGCCTCTCGCCACTACCCGATCCATGGAGTTCCTCAAGTTCCGTGAATTGCCAGCTGGTCAAAATGCCATTGTCGCAATTGCTTGCTACTCAGGTTATAACCAGGAAGATTCCGTCATTATGAACCAGAGTAGTATTGATCGAGGTCTGTTCCGAAGTCTGTTCTTCCGATCGTACTCAGATCAAGAGAAGAAGGTCGGTCTCAACTACACTGAGATCTTCGAGAAGCCTTTCCAGCAGACAACACTTCGAATGAAGCATGGAACATACGACAAGCTTGATGAGGACGGTATCGTGGCGCCTGGTGTCCGTGTGTCAGGTGAAGATATCATTATCGGCAAGACTGCACCCATCGACCAAGAAAACCAAGACCTTGGCACAAGAACTCAATCGCACCAGCGTCGTGATATCTCGACACCACTGCGAAGTACTGAGAACGGTATCGTTGATCAGGTCATTCTGACAGTCAACGCCGACAACGTCAAGTACGTCAAGGTTCGAGTACGAACTACCAAGATTCCTCAAATTGGTGACAAGTTTGCTTCTCGTCACGGTCAAAAGGGTACAATCGGTGTTACATATCGACAGGAGGATATGCCTTTCAGCCGAGAAGGTCTCACTCCCGATATCATTATCAACCCTCACGCCATTCCATCGCGAATGACAATTGCCCATTTAATTGAGTGTCTTCTTAGCAAGGTTTCAACGCTGGAAGGTATGGAGGGTGATGCTACACCGTTCACTGATGTCACAGTCGATTCAGTCTCTGAACTTCTGAGGAAGCACGGTTACCAATCTCGAGGTTTCGAGGTCATGTACAATGGTCACACGGGACGAAAGCTCCGTGCCCAGGTTTTCTTCGGACCTACCTACTACCAGCGTCTTCGTCACATGGTAGACGACAAGATTCACGCTCGTGCTCGCGGTCCAGTCCAGATCATGACCCGACAGCCTGTCGAGGGTCGTGCTCGTGATGGTGGTCTCCGATTCGGAGAAATGGAACGTGATTGTATGATTGCTCATGGTGCCGCTGCTTTCCTGAAGGAGCGTCTGTTTGAGGTGTCGGATGCTTTCCGTGTCCACGTCTGCGAGATTTGTGGACTCATGACACCAATTGCGTAAGTTATCCCTATAAACACTGATGAATAAGAGCTAACATGTTTCAGAAACCTGTCCAAACAGTCATTTGAATGCCGACCCTGCAAGAACAAGACCAAGATCGCGCAAATCCATATTCCTTACGCTGCCAAGCTGCTCTTCCAGGAGCTGCAGGCCATGAACATCGCCGCAAGAATGTTTACTAACAGATCTGGAGTTTCAAACCGATAATTTAGATTGCTTACGAAAAAAGATTGATAATGCATAAAATATTGGAGAGGGAAAGCTTTGGCAGCGCTGCAAGCCAGGATCAGCTTGCCTGAGCTTTGTAATGTTTGGGGAGGTTCATGTATAAAATAGCCGATTCGTGAGGAAATACAGCAGAAACAACGAAATGCATTGATGCAACAAAAATCTTTGATGGCGCCGTAGTCGCTAGAGAGGAGTATGCTGATAGTACACTTTTTCCAATTCACTTTTCCGTCCGCTCTTGGTGTTATCGATTCGGAAGACCCTTCTCCGCTGCTTCTATCGAGTCGTGCACTGTTTGCTCGCGCTTGTATTCTGCTTCAAGCTGCTTCTGCAAGTCAAAGTCCAATTGTCTTTCTCGCTTGATTCGTTGCTGTTCCATATCTCGAACGACGCCCTCGTGCATGGCCTGTGATCATGGTTAGTTCGGAGATGTTGGTGATGGATTGGAGGATCAATTGAGCAGTGGAAAACGTACGGCTTGCTCGAACTTTTGCTGGAAATGTACGCCGACGACTGTGCAGACTGTGAGGAGCGATGTACCCAGTAGGGTGAGCTTTGATGCTCGAGACATGGTGACCTCAAGGTCTTCTTCGGGGTTGGAAATGGTGGGTTTATAGATCGCTGGGGGAATTGATCGGTTTGCGACAGGTCAATTGACTCAACTAAAGACAATTTGAGTACAATATTTCTTGTGAAAGATTATGATCAAGTCGCCAAAAGAAGGGACTTTGTCAGCCCATGACGTTTCAAGCGCACAGCGTCTCTGGCGGTTCTCACACGCGCTAAGCGCTGTAGCCCCCCCCAAACAAGTAACGTACCTTACCTAGCGGTACCTGCGAATCAGCTGCCTGAGCTCAGCACCCGACGTAATCCTCCATCAAGTGCTTGTATGCAACCATTCGCAACATCAACTCGCATCAACAACGACGCCATCACGAACACCCCTCGAACCTGATAACACAATAATATCCCCCACCGAGTCGATCGCTTTATCATCACGTTTGATACTACGACATCATGGTTAGATGCTTCGCGAATAGGATGGAGGATGATGGCTAATGATTCGTAGTCTGCCCAGAACTCAGCTGGTATTCAACAGCTGCTCAACGTATGCTGCATCGAGCGCTTTTACTACCATCGAACGGGAAACTAATCTGTGCTGTCAGGCTGAGCAAGATGCCTCTAAGATTGTCCAGAAAGGTGCGCTACAATCTCATCTCCCCGCCTTGTTTATAGCTAAACTGACAACGATTCACAGCCCGAGAATGTAAGCGCCATTTCCTCACGAACCGATGAACCACCTATCTAATAGTACCGAACGATAGATCGTACCAAGCGCGTCAGGGAAGCTCGCGATGAGGCCAAGCAAGAGATAACCGACTACAAGGCCAAGAAGGAAGACGAATATAAGAAATTCGAGGCCGAGGTACGATGCTTCCACCCAAAAGACATACCGTCCATCTGCGTGAGATACGGTCCACGACGATGGAATAATACTGATGGTTGTACAGCACAGCAAGGGCAACGAGCAAGCCGAGGCCGAGGCCAACCAGGAAGCCGAGAAGCAAATCAAGAGCATCCAGGAGGCTGGCAAGAAGGGACAAGCTCAGGTCATCAAGAACCTCCTCAGCGCCGTCTTCGACGTCAACCCCGTCGCCCCCGCCAAGTCCTGAACGACGGAGCACCCGCGCACATGTTTATAATTACGAGCGTTTCAGCTTGACACACGAGGAGAGGAGATGCAAATAGACGAGGAGGATTTGTGTTACAAAGACCAAATTGCGTGGTCCGCCCTGCCAGCGTTTTCCCTTTCTAAAAGGAAACGCACGTTTTGAATTATTAAGTTATTTTTCACTGGACAAACTCGACTAGAGTGCTCAACATGTCCCTCAGATCCTGGTTCTCCTCCGTTGTGTCCAGAGCGTCCAGCTGCTCCTTTAGTGTACGACCGATTACAGAGACCTTTTCGTCGCGCTCGGCGAGGATTTGTCTAATCTTGCGTGCTGCTCCTGTGTCTTCTGCTACTAACCATGCGAGAACTGTGTCGATAGTCTGTAGTGTGAAGAGGCCGGCATCGATTCTACGCGAAAGCCATTCTAGCTCTGCTGCTTCCCGGTCATCTTCTGACGTAGTGGCTTTCTCAGCGTCGTTTTGCTGCTCTGCTAGTGAGACGCGAGCGATGTAGTCTCGTCGGAATTTGACGAGTTTGGAGATCTTTTCGTAGTCCTTTTCCACAAACTTGGCTAGTGTTCGTATCCTCTCCGCGGAATTGGCTGGTAGAAGGCGCAGCATTGAAGCGAAGATCTCAACGAGATGTTCAGCTAATCGATGATCTTGCGTCTTCATGAAGAGCGTAAAAAGACCCTTGAGGCCACCAGCCTCGACAATCTTTTGACAGACGTCCACACCAGCGATACCGCCTGCAGCGTGGTTGAGAAGACGAAGAGCCGGTGGTTTACTCTTCTTTCCCTCCTTCAGCATGATAAGACAGAGCTCTACACCCTCTGCGTCGATGAATTTTGCCTTTCCTGCAGCTTCGTCTGCTAGGCATGTCAGAGATGCAAATATGTTCTCCATATACTCTTCTTCATCGCCGCCCTTGTCGGGATCGCGTCGTCTGTAGGGGGCAATGAGCTGAAGAAGCAAATCAACAGCATCGAGGTTTATCAGTTTCGTGCGATTTGCGACGGAAATTTGGGCGAGAATGGCCAAGATTTCTGCTGCGTATTGCTTATTCTGGGAGACAGTACCTTCCTTTCGTTGAATGCGTTGGAGGAGCCATTGTAGCAGCTTTTCATCCTCTCCTACGCGCTCAGCAACTGATTGTCGAGAGCACAAGTTCTCAATAAGTCCCAAAGCATGGTAGATCCCGTTTCGATCTGACTCATCGTCCTCGTTCAAGCGGGAGAAGTTGGAGACCAGTAAGCTGAGGAGATCTGCCTCCATCATGGCATCTACCAACACATTCCACTGCTCATCCTCCGCCGCGACGTCTTCGTCTGTCAACTCGCCCATAATCTCGATCGCATCGATGGCAATATCGGTATTCTCGTGCGCCAGCAGACCGACAACACTGGCTACGCATTCTAGCCTGACGAACTCTGGGTACAGTTCAGGATGTTCAGACAGCAGCGACAGCCCCTTGATGTCGGCATCTAGATCAGCCTCACTGCCGATAAACTTCTGCGGTTGGTCTTCGAATTTGGCGCGAAGCTCGGCGTTCTTGTTGATGTGCCTCTCCAAGTTGGTCAGCGTTTTTCGCAACCATGCTGCATCGATCTTTTCAGGTGCTCGGCCAGCGTCGGCTTCCTCTACGTAGTCGAGGATCTCCGATTCTTGTTTTGTGATGCCACCGCCGAAGAAGCGACCTTCGTCATCGTCGGGAGGGAGTTCGGGACCGAAGTCTTCGTCGTCGGCGGGTGGAGGCGCTGGGCCAGCCTCCATGTCTTCATCTTCGTCTGGCGCATCGTTGACCTGGGCATGGCGGTTCGAGCCGTTGGCGTTTAATTTTGCTGATTTGTAGATTTCATCTGAAGAATGTAAGTAGACGTTCGCGACAAGGAACGGCTTAGTTGAGGCTTACTTGGGTCTCGAATGGGATCAAGCTTGCGCTTCCCTGAGATCCCTGAGCTCTAGAATTTGTTAGACGGTATTGAACATGGATATTGAAGGCAACAAACCTTGAAAATATCATCAACGCTCGCCATGGCAGAAGAACAGATGGGATTCGTGGACGAAAGAAATAATACAACCGTCTTCGATATCTGTAGGTGATCAAATTATCCGTTCGCGATCGGCGATACCTTTCAGCGACGCGCTCAAGCTGATGATGTCTGATGTCGGTTACTATTATTACATAAGGCAACGAAACGCGCTAAAACTGAAGCACGACAGCGTCGTCCAGGGGGTCCAGGGAGATTCCGCACAGTGCTCCCGCTAGAGGCAAGGCAAGGCAAGGGAACCTAAGGGTCAGACACGCGGCACACACAGGATCCCTAGGATCAGCCGATACCATGGAATACTTGGCCGAAGGGCTGGGGTAGGGAGATGCACAGGTCAACTGCCGGTCACTCGGCATAATGCGCTATCTTGTCACAGATTAGAGACAGAGAGGAACGCATCCCTACAGTAGCCTCGGGGGGCAAGAAAACAGCGAACCTTACTGTGCGGTGTCAAAATAAACTTGGCAAAAGTCATCCTAAACTTAGGCTGTACTACCCTAAGTCTTTTTGTCATCTAGGATCAAGGTCCTGTGTTTTCTTTCCTCCCCTAGAGTAGGTACCTGTACCTTGGGGTGCCGATGGCTCCAAACCACCAACCAAAACCCCGAGATGCAGGTACGGCTCGTCCCCTGACATGGATGGGCTGGGTTATCTGTTTCCTGAGCTGAGCTGACTGGTCGGCTGTCTTCTGGCACGAACTTGAGTTGTTTAATGTTTGACTTGTGTCTTTTTAACTTCTACAACATCCCCTTTTTGTTTCGACAGCGAGTGTTGCATTTTGCATTGCGAATACGAACGATAGAGCGAGATAGAGAGAGAGGCTTATCGACATGAGAAAGCGAATCTGCGACCACATTCAACTTGGGATCTACAACTTTTACGACGAGCAACTTGTACTGTTCTGTTCTGTACCTGAACTAAGTTAATTACGCCGGAAGCGGACCCCATCTCCACGACACCCGACCTCTCACTGAAGCACGAGTCTGTCACTGTCCGCTGTTGCCAATCGCGAGGTGAGGTGGGAAAGGCCCGGGCTTCCACTAACCTCCACTAACCTAAGCCTTAGCAGTCCAAGGTCCCCTAAAATCGCCAACAACTGGAGTACAAGGGAAAGGGGGGAAATTGTTGGCTTTTTGGTGAGGATCCAGTAGTATCGCTGGACTGGACTGGTTCGGATCGGATTGGATTCGTTCGTCTTGGCTTGGCTCCTTTTTAGAAGATCGATTTCATTTTCAAAGAGGATGCACGACGGTCAGA